GCCCCAAATCATGCCACAACTCCTATCAACACCTCACCCCCCCATGCACAGCCCCTTACCCACCCTGAACTCTACACCCAACCCCTGCACCCACCCGAACCCCACGATGCTGACCCATGCATCCCCAGCCACACACCTGCCACGCACCCCTGCCCCCCAGCCCTAACCCTCCCCAACTCCCCCGGGCAGTGCCACACCCCACAGGGTGCCTCTGCCCACCCTCACCCCGGGCACCAGGCTCCAGCAGCCCCCTGGCCATGAGGATGAAGTGCAGGTTGTTCTCCGTGTCGCTCAGTGTCAGCATGGCCATGCCCCCAGCACCCAGGTGTGTGGGGTCTGACGAGGTGAGGATGGCACCAAACGTCTCTGGGCAGGGAGAAGGGCTGTGAAAGACATCCTGGTGGGCACCCATCAGATGAGCATCCAGGAGCCACCCTTACCCGCAAAGAGTGCCCGGTGCTTGAGGATGTGCCCATGGACCTCTCCGGAGGGCTGTGCCCGGGTGACAAGGGACACACGGAGCTGCTCCCCACGCAGCAGCCGTACATTGGCTTTGGACAGCGTCCTCCACATCCCACAGAGCTGCAGGCAAAGGCAGGGCTGGGCAGGGCCCGGGGGGAGGGGGAGGAAGAGGCACTGTGACCCCCCCTGCCCTCCCAGCCCATCTCACCATGTTGTCCTCCGGGGCTGCATTCTTCTGCACGGGGTGTTCGAACAGCACGTTGCCCTCAGGGTCACTGAAACGCACCCGGCTTGGCCGCCCCAGCCTGTGGGCACCCAGGGGGTGAGCAAAGAACCCCCCACCTAGCCTCCAATCCCCTGGCACCACCCTGGCTCAGCACTGGGCACAGGGGTTCATCGGGGAGGGCACACAGGGTCACCAGTGATTTGGGGTGGACAAGAGAAGGAAGGTATCTCCCTGGGGTAACAAATGCCACCCTGTGCCTCCCATCCTGCTGGCATCCCACTGGGTGCCAGCACAGCACAGGTCTTCTGGGGTTCCCTGTCCCAGAGCAGTGCCAAGCTGGCACAATGCAGGAAGGGGTCTCTGCCAGGAAAGGTGGCAGTGCAGGACCCGCCGGGAGCTGAGCGCTCAGGAACTGGCTGTAAATAAGGAGCATTTTCAGCTTCGTTTGGCTCCCCCGGTTGGAGCTGGAAATTAGTCACCACTTTACTATGCAAAGGGGCCTGGAAGCGAGGAAGAGCAGAAGAAACTGGAGCGGGAAGGAGGGAGGGAGTGGAGAGGCTCTGCCGCTGGCGAGTATCCGGGGAGGGCATGGCAAGGATGGGGGACCCCAGCGGCAGTGCCCGCTGGCACAGCCTGTGGGGTGGCACAGTGCCTCTGCCTGTGGAGCCCTGGAGCCGTTCCCATTTGTTCTTGCTCCAGACCTGGAGGCGAAGGGGTGAGGCCACGCCTGCACTGTGGGTGTGCCGAAATCCCAGCTGCTGGCCCAGGCGGGACTCCCAGCACATTACCCCCCTCCCCAAACCTCTAGCCCTACCAATGCAAGGCTGTGGCACCGCAGGGGAATGTTGGAAGGGAACATGAGGCATAAGCTATGTTGCATTCCCCTCTTTTCCAAGGAGGTGCCTGCCGTGCCAGCCTGGGCAGGGGACAGGACTCACCGCTCGTAGCTGATGGAGAAGAGCAGGTAGGAGCGCAGCAGGGTGAAGCGAGCCTTGGCCACCGCGCTGGATGTGGGGCGCCACGGCTCCGGGCCACTTGTCAGCAAGGCCACGAACTCTGAGGAGGGGATGTGGATGATGATGGGGGCACACAGGGTGGTGCCCAGGACACTGTTGCTCACCCAAGCAGGCAGCTCACCTGTGCGGGCATCATCACGGGCCAGCCCCTCGGAGCTGAGGTAGGAGCGGTCGTTGTAGGGCTTGTCCAGGTCATCCTCCTTGTCCTGAAAGTACTCAAAGGTGTCGTAGGGGGATGCAGGGCTCTTCTCCGGGGAGCCTGGCAAGGCTGCAGTGGGGAGAGACCATTGCACTGGGCTTTTGGTTTTGGAGCTGGGGGGCAATAATAAATTCTTCCTCCCAAAACAGATCAAGATGTGCCCTGCAAATCACCATTGGATCGTGTGCCGGGGTGTCGGGGGGCACACAGGACTCAGGCAGATGGACAGACAGGGTGCTTAGCCCTGTGCACACTCTCTGCACTCCTCCCAGGGTGGTTCGGGGACAGCTGTGCCCATCAGGGCTTCGGCCTGCCCAACACCTTGCAGGCACCCCAAGGACACTGGAAACCGTCATAACACAGTGAACAGCCCTTTTGGGGGGCATGTGTGCAGTGCCCCCTTTCCCATGCTCACAGGGCACCCTGTGGGTGCAGGGGGGCTCCACGCAGGCACCCCCCAGCCTCACCTTTGGGGCAGGTGTGGCAGCAGTGCCCGGGCAGCAGCGTGGCATGGGGGCAGGCGGGCACGGGGCAATCCTGCTTCATGTTCTTGCAGTTCACTTTCCCCACTGGCTTCCCCCGGCGGTTCCTCTGCTGCGGTGGGGAGAGCCCGAGAGAGCTGTGCCAAGGTGTGCCCCTCCCACCCCGGCCCAGCCCGGCCCATCTGGAGCCCCCCGACACCTTGCACACACTCAGCTGTCTGTACGGCAGCCAAGCCCGGGCCCCCTCCCCACGGCCCCCAGCCCAGCTGTGCACAGCCCCTCCAACCCTGGCCTCGGGGGACTGGTCGGAGGGAGGGAGGGGGCCGGGGGCCATTCCCGAGGAGGAGGAATGAAGCCTGATCCTTTAAGCCCCCCTTCTTTTCCCCCACTGCCGCGACGGCGTGTGGGGGGGAACATCCAGGTGTCCAACTAGCTGGAAGGATCCCTGCTCCCTCTCCCCCACTCCATAGGGCGGGGTGGTGTATTGAATGAAGGGGTCGATCTCCCCTCCTGGCAGCCTCCTCCCCAGTAAGGCCAGATCCCGAGGGAACTCCCAGGGGAAGGGGGGTCCCGGGGCACTCACCGGCTCGCAGTGGCAGATAACGCAGCGCATGACCCCGAAGGGCTCCCCCAGGTCTGGGTGCCATGTCTCCTCCAGGGCATAGAAATGCCCCCCAAAGGAGCAG